TAATAGCAACAAGAACGAGGGAATTTAGAGTGTCCTGGTGTGGCACTTTGAATAAGCCCTAGACTGCTAGCTGCAAGGCTGGTTCAAAACCCTCCAGCTGTTCCTTGGAAACCTTATACGGGTTCGATATGAGTCAGAACCAACTTCATGTCACATAATCAACACATGTAGAAAATGCTAGAAAAGGTCATCATGTTTGATAAAGTAGGGGACCATTGAAATGAAGCAAGGGAAACTTTGATTAAGATGGACTGGCACAACAGCCACAACACTGTGCCCAAACATTCCAACCATCATGAAGGTGGCACAGGAATGAGCAGTGTTTCTGTTAGATGTAAGGTCGCCTTGAGTTGGAGCCAGTTTGGCCACAATTAGCAAAGACAACTCCAGATAGACATGTCGAGGATCTTACTTCTTCCTGACGTGTACATCTGCCCCAACGTGGGAATATTAAGTAGTGCTGATGGCACAGTGATTAAGCACTCAGCTGCTAATCTAAGGGTTGGTGGTTTGAATCTGCCAGCTGCTCTGCTGGAGCAAGATGTGGCGTTCTGCTTGCCTCAAGATTGATAGCCCTGGAAACCTCTATGAGGCAAGGCAGTTAGTTCTCTTTCCTGTAGGGTCATACTGGTGGATCAGCACTGGGCTGCTAACTGCAAGGTTAGTGGTTGGAAATCCTATACAGGGTTGCACTGAGTCAGCATATACTCAATGTGAGTCAAAATTGACCTGATGGCAATGGGGTGAGTAGAAAGATTATTTATTAGGGGGCCTCCGTGATACTTCAGGTCATATCCCGGAACAGAATTGTAAGTTTTTTGTTTTTTTTTCCTAAGGCTCATTTTTGTGTACCTCTGAGCATTAAAGAGCACTCTGTTTGGGAAAGCTGGGTAGTAAAATGAGTGGGGAGGGGAGGCGATATGCACGCCCTAGCCTAGCAGTGAAGAGGAACGGCAGAGCTTCATGGGGCCAGGGTGTGAGTATGAGTGTCCTTTCTTTGGTCTGACCTTACCCTGCCCCTGTAGTTATATTGATCAAGGCTGTATTTGTCTACCTACTTCAACTTCCCCAATCCCCACACACTTTAAAAACATCCTCAGAACCTTTACATGTCTAACTGGTAATTCTCAGATGTTAAAGATGTAAAGGAGTAGAAGTTGACAAGGTGTACTCATAGATTATCTAAAAGACTTGCTCTTTCTCTCTCTCTCTCATACACAGTACACACACTATCTCTATATCTGACATGTCAGAAAACCTGATACTCTGGGCAGGAAGTGATGCCAGACATGTATATATACAAAGGGCTAGAAAATATGTCTTTCCAGCCTCTGATCCAATCATGCTTCAGTGCAACCAAATTTCCTTTAGGTTTAGCATTGGTTGCTGATACGTTTTATTGATGTATTTTGAGTCATGATATTAAATTTTACAATTAGGAAGCTAGACAAAACATCCATTTACATTTAACATAAAATGGTAAGAATTTAGAGCACACGTAGATCCAAGAACATTGTTGTCCTTTCTGTGAACCATGTGGGTATCTGTTAAAACTAGACTCTGCCTAATGCTGCAGGCCTTCAAAGTCGGCCATTCCCAAAATGGGCAAGTATCATTGCCTGGAATAGGAATGGCCTGGCAGTGTTCCATGTTTCCTTCAGAAGTGTCTTGTGGTATCAAAATGTAACACCAGAAACAGATAGAAACTGGACCTTGTGCTTCAGATCTTGTTAAAAGGACAGGAGTTGCTGAATTGAAAAGAGTCAGATATTAAAAAACAAAACTGTAATCAGTTAAATGGAGAAGAGAATGATCAAGGGAGAATGTTGCATATATAATGGATACAGAGAAAAAATGCTGAATTTCTCAGTGGATACAGAAATCTATCCTTGGTGATAAAACACCATACTCATATCTTATCTATCTGTATATATTGTATGCCAAGGTATTTTGACCAAGTTTTCTTCATGGTAACAGGCAGATTAGATATTACATAG